AGTTCACAATTATAAGCAAAGCTAGTGGTAGTCACAACGGGCAAGTGAGGAGGAGGAGGGAGAGTGAGGGGAGAGGAGACAGGAGGCGACGGCTGAAGCTGCAGACACACGGGCAACAGGAGGCAGACTGGCACAGCGGCTACCGGACAGCGCCCGGACTACAGGAGTAACAGGCCCCGCGGCTCAAATAGCGGCGGACGGGCAACGGACCCACGGGCGGCTGGCACAGCTGGCTACGACTGGGCTACCGGGACAGCGCCCCGGACTACAGGTGCTGCTGACGACAAACTGGCAACCTCCGCTCATCCTCCCGCACACAGTCCCACCCCCCTGATACACACCCACTGCTACACCACTAGCTCTACTCCCACGCACCCCCCTAAAACCCTAAACCCAGTCTCCCACACAACCACCCCCCTCAGCGACAGCTGCAGCAGTGGGAGACGAAGGAGGAGGAGGAGCAAAGGGAGGAAAGTACACTGGCCACCCCCATACCTGCCACCCCACAGCGCAGCGGCCCCCTCAGGTCGCCTCGACGGACGACGGGAATTGGGGGGGAGGGGAGAAAAAGGGGGGGGGGGGACGGGGCCGGGGCCGCGACGAGGGGCGGGGCCGCGACGGTCGGGGCGGGGCCGCGACATAGGGCGGGGCCGCGACGTAGGGCGGGGCCGCGACATAGGGCGGGGCCGCAACGTTGGGCGGGGCCGCGAAGGTAGGGCGGGGCCGAGCCGGGCAGGCGCACGGGCGGCGACGGGCCGGGGCGGGGCCGCGACGTAGAGCGGGGCCGCGTCAAGGGGCGGGGCCGCGACGTAGAGCGGGGCCGCGTCAAGGGGCGGGGCCGCGACGATCGGGGCGGGGCCGCGACGTAGTGGAGAAGCCCGCCGCGCGCCTCGGGGCGCACAGCGGGCAATGAACCGCCGCGCGCCTCGGGGCGCACGGCGGGCAGAAAACCGCCGCGCGCCTCGGGGCGCACGGCGGGAGGAAAAAGTAGCAGCGGAAGCGAGGTGGTAACCCACCCACAGGATCGATCCAAGGGGATCGACCTGCTCTGATACCATGTTAAAGTTTGAAGGAAGAAAGAGGATTGAACTAGCAAGAATGGGGATACAAATAGCAAACCCTAGAAGGGTTGTACTCGCTATAGAGCACCCCACTACAGGCTAGAACATAAGAATAATATTCTGACACGCTGTACAGTTGGCTGTGCCCCCGGTTCTAACTCGATCCTATGGTCGTGCGCCCGCTGAGGTGGCAATCCTTGTGGTAAATCATCCGGAAATATCCCCGGGAACTGTTTCAGTAGTGCTTGTAGTTCGGTCGGTACAGTTGCCAGCAGTTTCTCCAAATCACTCGGCTGCTCATCTTTTTCTACGAGTGCGATATCCACTACGTACACGTCAGCTCCAGCAGCGACAGCCCGTTTCATCGTGATGGCGTTAACCTGGACCGTCGAAGATTTGGGTGGCTGCCAGCGAGGTAGAACGACCCAGTTACCACTACTTCGCACTGTGCAGCTCCCCGTCGTCCAGTCGATCCGTGGGTTGTACCGTCGCAGCCAATCACGTCCTAATAAAATGTCGTGCCCATCCAGTGTCGTCGCGAGCATTTCCTGTGTAAACCCGAAGTTCCCCCCGCAGCGGACTTTTACGCGCTCCACCTTTTCCCGTATGGGCAGGGGCGTGCCGTCGACTAAGCGTGCATCTACCTCAGGTAAACATCGGTTAAGCGTTAATTGTAATTTTCGTGCGGTTGCGGTATTAACTAAGCTGTGGCTTGCTCCTCCGTCAATGAAGATCTTCACTGCTGCTCCCTGTATTTTCCCGTAGATCAGTACCGGGCAATCCGTCGCTGTACCATCCTTATTCATCCGAGCCCGATCGATGGCGTGAATCGGTACTGTGACTCGGTGAGGGTCGGTGTGGTTGGGCGAGCAGGCAGTTGTCGAGAGAATAAGTGAGTTAAGAGGTGGGGCCTAGGCTTAGTAGCCTAGGCCCGAACTTAGGTATCGAGCGGGTTTTCACCTAGGCAAGGTGTCGAGTGAGTTGAGAAGGGAAATTGGAGAATGAAGATGGTTTCACTATAGGTTCAAGGGTACATATAGCATAGAAACCAAATAAGGTGCACCACCACCAACAGTTTACATAACTACATTAACTACAACTACAAGGAGTTATAAAACATGACAAAATATTTCGACACGCCCCCATAATGCTTGTAGGTAGATGTGTAGTTCCAGCATAGCAAGCAACAGCAGGTACCCCTTCCGTCTCCTCACCCTCCTCCTTCCCCTCCCCCACACTGCTGCAGGAGCAGCAGAGAAGGGGGGAAGAGAGGAGAGGTGGAGGGACGGCTGCATGTTGCCTCACACCCGCCACCCCGTTACCACTCCCCCTGCTCCCCCACATCCTCACACCCTCCCCCCCCAGCGGCAGCTGCAGCGGTGGGACTGAAAGAAGGAGGAGGGGAAGGGAGAGAGGTGACGCCACACTCCAACACCCTCCACCCCCATACCCTCCTCCCCACGGATGCAGGGAGACAAAGGAGGAGGGGGTGGGAAGGAAGAAAGCCGCAGAGCGGCGAAAAGGCGTCGGTGCAGATGGGTCAGGGGCGGCTCCAGGGAGTGCAGGGGCGGAAAGGCCCGTCGCGGGCCAGTGCCACGGGGCGCACGACGGGTAGAAGAAGAAAACAGGCCCGATCGTGCGCCTAGGGGCGCACGACGAGCAGGGCACCATCGTGTGCCACGGGGCGCACGATGGGCAGATGAAGGGCACCGTCGCGTGCCACGGGGCGCGCGACGGGCAGAGAAGGAGCCACACACCCGTGGGCGGGACTAATAAAAAAATCGTCACGCGCCCTAGGCGCACGACCGAAAACTCATCGCGGAAGCGTAAGGCGGGCACACAGGCCAAGTCGTAAAAATGCTCTGATACCATGTCGAGAGAATAAGTGAGTTAAGAGGTGGGGCCTAGGCTTAGTAGCCTAGGCCCGAACTTAGGTATCGAGCGGGTTTTCACCTAGGCAAGGTGTCGAGTGAGTTGAGAAGGGAAATTGGAGAATGAAGATGGTTTCACTATAGGTTCAAGGGTACATATAGCATAGAAACCAAATAAGGTGCACCACCACCAACAGTTTACATAACTACACTAACTACAACTACAAGCAGTTATAAAACATGACAAAATATTTCGACAGCAGTCTCGTCAGTAGTTGGCCCAACTTCTACTGACTGCTGGCGTTTCCCTGCCTCCGAGACTCCTTCCCCTGCTCTGCTCCTCGACGCCTCAGCTCCTCTGGACATTCGCTCTTGCGATGGCCCGGCCGGTTGCAAGCAAAGCAGCGCCCTCTAAACGGCGCGGCAGCTGCATTCGCTGCGACGGCATGTACAGTGGCGTGCTCGGTCGGTCCCCGAGGACGATGTCCGTAATAGGACCCCGGTCTCGGTCGGCGTAGGATATCGATTTTCTCGGCGAGCGCGAGGATCTCGTTGAAATTCGAGAGCCCGCGTTGCATTATCTCGTGCGAGATGTCCGGCTTCAGCCCTCCGACGTAACGGTCCACCCGCTCCGCCTCGTGCATGTAGCCGACCTGTTCGCAAAGTGCGAGAAACCCGCTGGTGTAGTCTTGAACTGACCCGAGCTGGCGCCAAGTGCGCAGTTTCTGACGCGCCGAAATCGAGGCCGCGATCGGCTCAAAGCGCGCCCGAAGCCCTGCGCACCACGCATCCCACGTGCTGTATTGGGCGGTTTCGCAGAACGAACTCCAGGTAACAGCTGGACCCGAGGGCCCTTCCTCGTGCGACGGTGGCTCGTAGGCGCGCGGCGACGTCACAATGACTCGCCACCAGTCCATGGCGGGGCCCCTGAGTAGTGAAACCGCATACCGGATCTTGGCGGCGTCCGACTCGACGTAGTTGGCGTCGAAAAACACATTCATCGTGAAGACCCACGATTGAACTGTCGGGCCGCCGCGTTGGCTTGGGTCGAAGCAGGGCGGGCGTTGCGGCTTGAGTGGCATTGGGGCCATCATGGCGTTCTCGCCACTTGTCGCCGCAAACTCCACGTGCCGACGGGCTTCTCGGGGCTCCCGTGGGCTTAATGCGCTCCTGTTCCCTCCCATGCCGGGCATCGGTTGGGCTGCGCCGTCACTGGCTGCGCCTGAGCGCTGTCCCGTGCTGTTGTGTTGCGTTGGTGTGCCGGATGAGATGACGATGGGCTCCTCCGAATGTGCAGATGCATTGGTTGGTGCGTGTGATGTCGTCGGTACGTTCACCGTTGACTGTTGACGGGCGGAGTCATGTTCCGCCGTGAGAGTCGCGATTTCGAGCGCCGAATCCTCCAATTGACGCACGAGACGATCGAGTTGCTCCTGCGTCAACGTGGCGAGATTGAAATCGGCCATGGCGGGGGTGTCGGGCAAGCTCAGCGAGAGCCTCGGTCGTGGCCGTGCGTGCTTTCGAGAGAGCACTACGAGCGGCGGTGCTGTGTCGCTGAGAGACGTCTACTCCCCCAAAAAATTGAGATAGTGGGAAGCGAAGGTGTGGATGCGGTCCGAGATGAGATCGTAGGCTCTGAATACCAAGTGTTACGAGTGCAATTGAGTGAACGAACGAGAATTGCACTATTGAAGCAAGAATACAAATGAGCGAAGGCATGAGCGAACATTATATAGCGAAACTACAGTGGTAACGGTAATGGTCGCGCGACGAGCCTGGGACTGAGGTTGGGAAAGTGTCGAAGCGTAGGTCCGAAGCGCGGGTTACCAGCCGAGCCGTGAGGTCGGGATGCGATGTGCGAAAAGGGCGGGATGATGAATGATGCGATGGTCGCGAGTGGTAACGGTGCTGACTGAGGTGCTACAGTGATGTACGCGTTGAGCAGGGACGCGAAGTAAGGAAAAGGGAATTTCCTTACATTTAGACACATGTGTGGGCATGCAGACAGACCGTACTTTAGTAAACTCTTTACAGTCTAGCTTCTTTCCAAAAATCACGCTAGGAATAGTTAATAGTACATATCGTCGTAATCTTCATTATATTGGCCATCATCCTCGTATACTTCTTGATTCCTCGGCTTCTGTTTCCTCTTTGGGGTACTCACGCCTACCTCCACCCTCCTCACTTGCCCCCGCCCTTGCTCCGGGTCTTCATCATCCCCCCACGTCGTGCTTCTCTGATGTCCCGACCGCCCTTGGCTCATAGAACCCCCTCGCGCCGCCCTTCCCCCTCGTCTCCCCCCACGAGGCGTCCGCGCCTCACCCCCATCCGGAGGGGTGCGTTTCGGGTTCTGACTCGACCCCCACGTCGTGTTACGAACCAACCTGTCATCGTCCTCCTCCCCTCCCACCGACCTATTGCTCTGCCGCGCCCGACTCCTCTGTCTCGACTCCCTCTGCTCATCATACTCCTCCTCTCCCTCCACCTCATCATAACCTCTCTCCCCACCACCCACCTTGCTCCGCTGCCGCTGGTACGTCCGCCTATCCCCCCCCTCATCCTCATACCTGTCCTCCACATCCCGAACCTCCCATTCTTCCTCCCTTCCTCCCTCTGCATACCCCACATTCCCATTCCCATTTCCATTCCCACCAGCCATGCTCATCTGTCGCTTGTACTCAGCGCTCGCCATGCTCTGGAAAGTCAGACTGCGCTGGAAGCTCGCACTCCCCGGCCCATTCTGCGGCCCCTTCTCCCCCCCACCACGGCTCAACGTACGGTCAAACCGCGCCCCTCCCCCTCCCCCACCCCCAGCAGCACTGGCCATAGTGTTGGTCCGTTTGAAGTTCGCTCCCCCTGCTCCCCCTACCCCAGTGTTCACCCGGGACAGTGTCCTTTCGAGTGACGGCTCCACCATCACAAATGTGGGTGCTCGGGCCAGCGCGATGCCATCGGACTCACTCAGTCCCTCAGGCTCCGCACCGTTGCACGAGGCGCAGCACATGGCAAGCCCCAGCAGCAGCAGTAGTCCCGCCGCTGCCGTGCCCACGTATGCCTGCACCTTGAAGTTGCTCTGGAGGAGGGCTAGCAGGCCGCCCTGGCAGAGCGAGCAGCTGTAGCAGAGAACTGTGGGGTCGATGCTGAAGGCGCTACAGGCGGAGGAGGAGGTTGGGTTGGCGGGTGTGGTAACGGTGGGTGTGGTGGGGACGGCGAAGGCGAAGGAGTAGATTGTGTTCTGAGGGAGGTTGACTGGGCAGCCCTCGGGAGGTAGGCAGCAACCAGCCTGGTAGCATGGGGTGGGAGAGGGGAGGAGAGAGAGGTGGTGGGGAGAAGGGCGGAGGAGAGGCAGGTGTTTGGTTCCCTGAAAGGGCACATGGAGAGTGTGGTGTGTTGTGGATGGGGAGTTCACTTCGTGGCTCAATTCAATCCTCTTCCCTTGAAAGCGCATGACAATGAAGGTGCCTTACCTCTAGAGGCGAGATCTGCTTCCCTTGCAGCTTGTCACGGGTGTACAGGCGGAGGTCGGAGCAGACGTGCACGGTGTTAGTGAGGCATGCTTGTAACGAGGACCAGGAGCCCAGCTGCTGCTGCATCCAAGCGGAGAAGCCGGCTGGCTCGTACACTGTCTGACCGCGGCTGCTGCTTGCTGCCCCTCCTGCCGTCACCACAAACGCAAAGACTGCGGCGAGACGGGCGGGCGCCGGGAGGGGGTGAGAGGGGGCGGGAGGATGGGGGGAAGGAAGAGAGAGGGATGAGGTGGAGGCGGGGGAGAACGTGAGGGCGAGGGGTAGGCGAAGCAGCGGGTGGGTAGCGGGAGGGGGATGAACAAGTGGTGTAATAGACTTGGCCGCACGTAGCTCGCACAGGTGCACGCACGGGCTTACAAAAGGCACTGAGGCGAAAGAGGGGAGGGGATTGGGTTGGGGCAAAGTGGCTATGAGGGAGTCAGATGTCAGGGGAGGAGCGGAGGGGGCGGAGAGGGGGGAAAGGGAGGCGAGGTGGGCGAAGGCAGAGGCGACGTTACTGGAGAAGGCGAGGTGGGCGAAGGCAGAGGCGACGTTACTGGAGAAGGCGAGGAGGGCGAGAAGGGCGAGGATAGCGAGGAAGACGTGCAGACACTTGAACCCGCCATGGCCGCACGCCACGCCCTGCAGCCCCACCAGTGCCGCTAGCAGCAGCAGGCCGCCCCCCACCATCATGGGCGTCTGATACACCAGCAGACATAGGCTCGCCGGTGTGCTATGGAGGGGGAAATGGGGGGAAGATTTGGGGGGATGTGGAAAATAGTGAGAAGAGAGTGGCCTCACTGCCCCTTATCAACCCCTCACCTCATCCCCTCATCGCACCCATCACCACCGCACCTCATCGCACCCAGACCGCACCTCATCATGCCCACACCGCACCTCATCATCACCGCCGCACCGCACCTCATCATCACCGCACCGCACCTCATCATGGCCCACACCGCACCTCATCATGGCCCACAGCGCGGCGGCAATGACGCCGAGAGCGATGGCGAACTCGCAAGCGTGGAACGCGGCGCTCAGCGTCGCGGCCTCCTTCTTCCGCCTCCCCATCGCGCCCTTCCGGCGCGTGCCTTCTGAGCTAAAGAGCTTGCGCCGCGCCTCTTCGCGCCACTCCGCGCCCTATCCCGCCTCTCCGCGCCGTCGCCCAACTCGCCCGCCGTCCTCGCTTGGCGCGGCGCTACTGCAGGCGCGAGTCGCGGGTGCGTTTCAGGGCTGCGAATCGCGTAGAGCCCAAGGCAAGAGAATTGCTTAACCTCACAGATTCCACAACTTAATTTCTAATAGCCTGAGAGATAACCCAACGCAGGCGACTGACTTGAGGACGAATGCCTCTCCACACAGATTGGAATCACGTGTTTAAGCTACTCATTGTCCAGTCATCATACCTCCATGTTTATAAACATAGTGCGGGTCTGCCGAGCGCTCGCTTCGCGAAAATTATGAGCGACGAGAACGGGAAGAGCGCAGAATGCGCGAGGATCGTTGAAAGGCAAGCAAGGAGACTGTCGATGCCGCAACTAGGGAGGAACGGTTATGGCAGGAAAGGGTGAACGTGGGGAAGGCATGCAAGAAAGGTGGTGGTGAGAGTGACGACGCAACCTCGCGCTACCGAAGGTTAACTTACCGAAAATACGTTCGAACCACCTTCCACCTCTTTGTTTCCCCGAACCTCCAACCAAACCTACTTCCCTGCCAGAAATCTCAATTTCGCGCCGTGTACTGTTCAACCGCACAGTACTGTAGGGCCTGCAGCCACTTCCGGGCCTGTGGCTGTACAGTGCGAGCGACTGTAAAATAGGGAATGCCAAGAAAAGAGCTGCCTGTTGCGTGGCTGTTGCTCAACAGCAAGCAGTCAATTTAACTTTAGCAAGTGTAGACAGTCACATTTCTTTTTATAAAAAACGAATATGTTACAGGCTATATTCTATCGTCGTATGACTCGTAGTCATCACCTTCATATATATCCGATTCAGCATCCAAGGACCGCTGCGGATGCGCATGACCATATAGATTACCATCTTCATACCCACTCTCATCATCATACATACCCTCCAAGTCATAAACCTTGGGTGGTTCATGTGGTTGCTCGTCTCTTCTCGAAGGATATCTCTCAGACTGGCCCCCCTCACGCCCTGTATGAGAATGCTCCGAGCTCTTTCCCCCCGTCGACCGAGTGCTTCTCTTGGAGTGTCCAATCTCCGATTTGCCTTGGGGTGGTGAGCCGCACCTTTCTTGGCTCAACCGCGTTGATTGTTTATAACCTGACCCGCTCTTACTGCTGTAGCTCCTTCCATGCATCATGCCTGCTTCCCTGTCCCGTTCCCTCTCCCTCTCCCTCTCCATATCCCTCTCCCTCTCCATATTCCTCTCCCTCTCCAAATCCCTCTCTCTCGCCCGCTCACTCTCCATGTCCTCCTCGAAGCGCCTCTCCTCCATCCGACTGTAGTACATGTCTTCATCCTCCTCCCACATTGTATCATCATGGAGACTATGACTCTTAGGCATTCCATACCCCCCTTCTCGCTCCTCTATATCAACCACAAACACCTCCTTGCCTCTCTCCGCGCTTTTGGGGGTTCGGTAGCTCTTCGAGCTTCGGGAACTCTTTGAGCTTTGAAAACTCTGGGAGCTTCGGGAACTTCGCGAGCTTCGGGAGCTTCTGGAAGTCGGGGGATCATCCGCATAGCTGCGGGAACTTGGAGACTCATCATAGGGGCTACCTCGGCTACGCATGTCCTCCCGCATTCTAGTTTCTCCTCCGTAACTCGCCCGTCTCCCCCCTCTTTTCTCGAGTTCCGTGAGAGATCGATCCAGCGCCCCTGGAGACTTATCCACATGCGTTAGCGACCGCTCATACTGCGTCACTGCTGCTGCTGCTCCCACGCCTCCATTCAACCCCATCCCAACCCCTTGGTCACCTACCCTGGTCGACAGAACCCGTTCAAACTGCCCCGGGGCCACGGTGAAGGTGTTCACGCGGCTCATGGTTCCGCTCTTCTGCAGCTTACCAGTCATAGCAGCAGCAGCAGCAGCAGCGGCGGCGGCAGCGGCGGCAGCATCAGCTTCTTTGGCGTCGAGGTCATCGTCGAGGCCTGTGAATGCGGCGCAGCAGGCCATGAGGTAGAGCACGAGGGCCGCCACGGACGCGCCTAGTGAGACGAACTTGAGCAGGGAGTATTGCTGGTACAGCTGGTGCAGGAAGCCGCCCTTGCAGTACTCGCACGAGTAGCACAGCGTCTGCGGCTCCATGCTGAATGCGCTGCAGTTCTGCTGGCTCCTGCTGCTGCTGGTTTGTGGGGGGTTGGAGCTTCCTGGTGCGCCGGGGGTTTGGGCAGGTGCGGGAGATTGCGGAGCGGTGGAAGCGGCGCTTGCGAAGGAGTAGTACGTGGGCCTGTAGGTTCGGTTTTGACAGCCTTGCGGGGGAAGGCAGCAGCCGGCCTGCCATGGGAACCAACCAGAGGGCACAATAAGCATGCGGCGATGAAAAATGGGCGATATGTGCGATTAAATTTCCACATCACCACGTCCCCTCAGGAAAGGATGCCGCTGCCTTACACTCGCTGACTGGAAAGATGTTGTGGAAGTGAGTGTTACCTCGATGGGCGGGAGAAGCGTCCCGTTGAGCGCAGCGGGGGCGTATGCGCGGAGGTCCGCGCACGTGCGGCGGCGCGCGAGGCATGTCTGCATTGCGGGCCACGTGGCATTGGCCACCTGCGCCTGCATCCACGGCGAGAAGCCCCACGTGATGTACACCGTCTGGTTGCGACTCGTTATAGGCGCCGGCGCGCCGCCCGTTACAAGAAAAGCGAAGACTGCGGGGATGATGAAGCGAGGCAATTGGCGAGGGAAGGGAAGAAAACGAAATTACGGCGACGGATTGGGATAAGCATGATATAGCACTCGTTTGACAAGAGATTGGACAAGAGCGAAACGAGGACTCACTGGTGAAAGCCGTGGATGCAAGCACGGCGACGAGCGCGACGACGAGGTAGAGGCACGAGAGCGAGTTCGAGTCGCACGCGAGCCCGCAGAAGCCGACGAGCGCCGCGAGCAGCAGCGCGCCGCCGACGACGATGACGGGGAGCTGGTAGGGCAGCAAGCACGCGCCGTACGTGGCGTCGAGCAGCATCCACAGCGCCACGCCTACGAGCCCCAACCCGATGACCGCCAGCGCGCCGTTCACAAACGCGCCGAGCGCCTTGTTCGTCCTCATCGGGCAAGGAGTTTTATTTGGAGGTGTTTTGAACTTTTAGATGATGGTACTAGGCAGCCCCGTTTTTGGTCGTCGACCCTTTCCGCGATGTTAACAATGTGGGTGGTCCGAGCTCCCAAAATCTGCGGGGTATCTGTCACGGAGCACGGTCCTGTGACCAGCAGACGGATCTGAGTGGAACGCAACGTGCGCCGCTGTCGTGGCCCAGCGCTACCCGAACTATCCTCGTGTAAAGCCCACTGCCAAACGCTACCAGTGGTGGATATCGTTCCTACGAAAGGCTCTCGAAGTTCGCACGTAGTAGGTCAGCAATAGTACGAAGACCAAGTGGTATATTTTGGAAATAGTCTTACATGTTGGTATATGTGGTACAGACCTCCGGGGGACAACGAGATGTTTGACTCGACTAGATAGTGGATGAGGTTAGGTTTGTCGCTTACACCATGAGCCCTGGGAAGCAACCAAATCGCGCGAGATGGGTGTGTGGTTCATAGGTAGAGTTGTTTTCTGGAGAACCGTGAATATCTGAGGCAAGGGTGGGTGCAGCGAAGGTTGTGAGGAGTTTGGACGGAGCAGGAGCAACACACGCAGCACACGAAGCACACGCAGAACAATGCGGCACAGGATTTGAGAACAAAAGCTGGGACGAGACGAATGATGGCGAGTGTTGGGCGACAGAGGGAGCAAGAGGGGCCGAAATTGGAAAATGCGGCTCGTAATTTGCGACTCGCGAGTGGTACATGTGGTTCGCGAGACATGCGGCTCGAACTGCTGGCAATCAAGCTAGCGTTTTGGACGAGTGGTAAATGCGGTAATGTGAATAAAGCACACGTACAGTGAATGAGATAAAATCGTTACAGATTTCCTACCCTTTCTCCATCAATGGTGGATTCTAGCATTGGGTCGCCCTGTGACATTGCCTTGATGATGTGGGAGCCATGGTGGTGTGCCGACAGACCCCATGGATGCATGGCTGTGACACGGGGCGAGTAGAATTTAGCAGGCGTATTGACGTCTGTTCCTGTGAGATAAATAACATCGGTCAATGCGTGACCGTCCCACTCTCGTGGATGCTCCAAGGCATGCAGCATCATTGGTATTGCCACCTGCAAAAGATAAAACCACATGAATAATAAACCCAGGAGAGAGGTCTGGAACCAAAACGACAAGTAGTGGAAGGCAATTCTAAGGGGCCAAGAAGGTGCCAAAAAAACATGGGTAGATGTTGGAACAGAGCAAAACGGAGTGAGAAGGAAGGGTGCAGCTTACATCAGCCACAATGCGATGGTCGGCAAAGATGGGGACGAGCGAGCGCATCGCAGGCGCATGGCGCTGCGGGATATAAAAGACGTCCGACGCTGCCCGCAGAAAGATATTTGTCTTGGGGGAGATGGACTGCTGGTACTGCTGCAGGTACTGTTGGGGGAGGTGGGAGAGCGCCTGTGGGGGAAGGGCATTGGGGGGAATGAGGAGCATGGGCGACGGAAATGTGTTGCAGAGCGTGTTTTTTGAGAATGAGCGTGTTCTCAAAAAACACGCTGGGCGACGGACGAGAAATGAGGGGCAGAATATGGCGAGTCAGCGGTGCAAGAGAGCATGGATTGACGGAAGACTGTACCATGTGATGTGACCCAGTTTGAGGCACAAAAAGCATCGCGAGGGCACCACATGGTACGGCATTGCATGCCATGGTATGGCACGGCAGGGCACACGAAGTCTCACCTGGGAAACGGCCTGCTTTAGAAGCTGCAGCGCCTCCCCACTCTCCTCCACGCGCTCACTCGCATCCTCCATGTACCTCACCGCTCCCGCCTCCTTCCCCTCCCCTCCCCATCCCCCTGCCACGCTTCCGCTGGGGTCGAGGCTGGCGATGCGCCACGACTGGTGCATGGGCCCCAGGAACCAGATGCACGACTGAAGGGGGGAGATATGGGGGTGATGGGGGTGAAGGGGATGGTCATGGACCAGATGCCAGAGAGGGGGATGAGTGGGAGGGAGGGACACAAGGGAGGGACACAAGGGAACCGGGTTGGATGTGCATCGGCGCAGAAATGGCATTTTTATCCCGTCACCACACAAAACCTCTTTACAAACACTAAACTGTTAACTGCACATTCTTACCACCTTACCGCACCTTGATATCGCGGCTCATGGTCCAGTGGTTGAGCACCGTGTCACCCTGTTGTTACCTGGTTACCATACCTTGTTATCACGGCTCATGGTCCAGTAGTTGAGCACCGTGTCACCCTGTTGTTACCTGGTTACCATACCTTGTTATCGCGGCTCATGGTCCAGTAGTTGAGCACCGTGTCATCATCCATCCACAAAAAGCCCTCCGCCATGGGGTGCCACGTCAGCAGCTTCGGCAGCACACTGTAGTGCAGTGACCCGGGCGGCAAGTCGTGGGCGTGCCCTGTCTCCTTGACAGGCGACTGAAAGAGCAGGCAGGAGGGTAAGAGAAGGAGCCGCAGAGCATTGTCAGATTCAGAGTGATGAGGAGGGAGGAACGGCCAGTCATGGCCCTGCCCCGCGCCCTGCCCCGCGCCCCTGCAACTTCCAGCTCTGTTTCCCTTTCCCACCAAGCTCTTTCTCTCTCCTTAACCTCCTCCCACCCTTCCACCGCACCACACGCCCAGATCAGCGTCGCCAAACTCAGAGATAGTGAGGATGCACTAGAAGAGGAGGGAGCCGTAGCGCGACTGCAATCCCTTGCGCCCCACCCCTCCCCACCCCCCCACCACATGGTGCACACACCTCGAGAACCCCCAAGTCGGCGTCGCCAAACTCAGAGACAGCGAGGATGCGCTGGAAGAGGGAGCCGTAGAGCGAGTGCAGGAGGTCGAGCGTGACGGGCATCTGCTGGGGGCGCTTGTAGTTCACAATGAGCACGATGTTGCGGTAGAACTGCTGCCACCGCCTCTGGTTTATCAAGTCCGTTGGCTTCGCCCTGCGCCGCTTGCGCACGGTCTGAGAGGGGGGGAGCGGGAGGAGGGATGGTTGGGGTGGAGAGATGAGATTTGACATGTTTTGGACATTGGGAGATCGGCATTCAGCACTGAGCTTTATGCACTGGGCATCGTCCAGGAAAGCGACAAAACTGCAGAAAACATGTCAAACCTCATTTGACACACCAGCCGTTCTATCCATGCCCCGAGTTGCTACTTAAAGCTGCGTGAGGAGCGTCAACGCATGACACGACATGGTATGGCATGGTGGCATGGCATGATGGTATGACTAACCTTGGGAGGAGGAGGAGGGGACGCGGGAGGGGCAGCTGCAAGAGAAGAGGGCAGGAAAAGAGAAAAAGAGCACACAGCTATGAATGGCACTAAAATCAGATTTACATGCGTGATCACAATGAACGGAGTGCACACAGGAAGTGGGTATGGAAATGCATGGATTGTGGTGGTAGCATGGAGAGAGCATGGGCCATACCATGGAGGTGCATGGGCCATACCATGGAGGTGCATGCGTCATACCATGGAGGTGCATGCGTCATACCATGGAGGTGCATGCGTCATACCATGGAGGTGCATGCGTCATACCATGGAGGTGCATGCGTCATACCATGGAGGTGCATGCGTCATACCATGGAGGTGCATGCGTCATACCATGGAGATGCACGCGTCATACCATGGAGGTGCATGCGTCATACCATGGAGGTGCATGCGTCATACCATGGAGGTGCATGCGTCATACCATGGAGGTGCATGCGTCATACCATGGAGGTGCATGCGTCATACCATGGAGAGAGCATGGGCCATACCATGGAGATGCATGGGATTTGCAGGGTTCATCTCTTTCTCCGCCTCCTTTGCAGCACCGTCACCTGCTGCTGCCGCTGCTGCTGCTGCCCCATTCCTCCCACCACTCGCCCCACTCCCCCCAGCAGCAGCAGCAGCAGCAGCAGCATTGGAGTTGGCTAGAGCGCTGGCCAGTTGCTGATGTCGCCATGACAGCGAGGCCACCTGGACGGGGAGAGAGGGGAGAGGGGAGAGGGGAGAGGACAGGGGAGCGATGAGAGATGAGAGTGGAGAGATGAGCGAGGAGAGATGAGAGAGGAGTGAGGAGTGTGAGGCTATGATGGATTTGACTCCAAAAACTGAAAACGTCAAGGGTCAAAACGCCACGTTTTGACCCTAGACGCGTAAAATTCTGCGCTCAAAACGCGACCCGCCAAATTGAACTCGGCATTTTGAGGCCCCAAAACAGGCCCCAACCAATCCAACACCCAAACCTTCCTCCATCCCTTTGAAACTACTCAACCCAACCCATCCCCTAGTACTTCACCACAATTCTCCTTTGGAAACCCCATTCATGACTGCCCCACATGTTCTACAACTCCTGCCCCACCACCCTCCCCCCCAACCTCTCTTACTAACTCCCCTGTTCCCAGTTTTTGTTACCCCTGCCTGGGATTGTTTTTTGCCTGCCCGCCAGAGCGTCAAACTGGGGGTACCCCTCGGACAGGGGGCTTCAATAGCGTCAAAACGCTAGCGTTTTGTCTCAGAGTCAAAACGCTGAGCGCGTCAAATCCTTCATAGGTGTGAGGAGAGAGGAGGGAGAACTGTGAGGGGAGTCGACGCTATGTGGGGGGGCTGTGAGGGGAGTCGACGCTTTTGAAGAATTGCTGCAGTAATGCTCACACACATCCCTACAGCACCACGCACATACCCACAGCACCACAGCCAGCACGGCAAGCAGCACGAGCGCCAAGCACGCGGCGCACAGCAGCAGCAGCGCCTGCACTGGCAGCACCACCCCGCCTTCCCGCGCGCCCGCCTTGCGCCTCCGCGCCTGATGGGCGGGGGGCCGCCGAAGGGGGGAGGGGAGGGGAGACAGCATGGGGGGGGAATGGGGAGGAGTGTGGAAGAGAGCGTTGAGCGGTACTGGCGGAATGGGGAGATGCGGCTTGCGCGGAGGGGCGCGGAACGAAGAATGGCGCGAAGAGGGCAACGAGCGCGTACCGCGGAGGAGGGTCGCGCGGATCGGAGCGGAGGGGAGGGGAGGGAGAGCGGCACGGATGGAGGAGAGCAGGCGGGAGGGCGGGAGGAACGGCGGAAGGGAGGGCGGGAGGAAGGGCGGAAGGGAGGGCGGGAGAAAGTGAGGGCCAGTGGGGATCGAAGCGAGCGCGACTCACGGAGGGTCGTCTGCCGGAGGCGCGGGAGAGCCCGAGGAGGTTCAGACCCGCCATGCTGGCGGGGAGTGCGAACACGGTTACCACGTATCAGCCGTCGCGGGCGTGCAGACAATGCAGACGATGCTGCGCGCTGCGTCCGAACTCTGCTGCGGACCGCAGGGAGCTGCGACTGTGGCGCGATGCGCACGGGCACCGGATGGCGGAAGCGCGACGAGGGCGGAGGAATGTGCTGGCGCAAGGTTGCGGCCCTGAGGCCCTAGGCGGCAGTCCGGCGAAGCCGATCGACAGCAGCTATCGGCATTATCTATACGCGTTAGCTATCGGAAACGTCGGACGCATTGACGCCTAGTCGCCTCGAGATCATCGCGGCGCGCCATTGGTGGCGCGGAATCCGAAATGACAGTCGCTGCCGTTGCTGGTGGTGGTGACGATTGTGGTTGAATGTACACCACTCCCCACTCATCATCGTTGTGATACGCGCTAAGAACAGCCTCAGTGGCACGGTGACCAGAACCAGGACCATCGCACAAGCATATAACTCGCGGGAAAACCGTGAATGTAATTCCTCGTAGAAAATCAATGTACACAAAGGATTTTACATTTGATTTAGTGAAGTTGAGTTAAATACATAACTGTATATCATGGCTCTGAGCTCATCTCAAGCCGGCACCACAACCTGCCCTTCCATGCCTCCCTCCCCCTCTGTCACACTACTGCTGCTACTGGTGGTTGTGGTCGTGGCTGTGGGAGACCCGCTGCCGCTCCCTGCTGCTTCGGCCACACCTGCTGCCTCGGCGACCCTGGCTCGCATGAGGTTGCTGGAGTAGCCATAGCCCAGCGATGACCCACTCAGTGCGGATAGCTGTGTCGAGGAGGGCAGGGGATGGGGCGAGGATGAGAGGCAGAGTACAGAAATGAGAGGAGCAAGGAAGAAAATACATGCATGAGGTTGCTGGAGTAGCCATAGCCCAGCGATGACCCACTCAGTGCCGACAGCTGTGTCGAGGAGGGCAAGGATGAGGTGCGGAGAGGATGAGGAGTGGACGAGAGGCAGAGTGAGTAAATGAGAGGAGGAACAAGCGGAAAAGAACAAAGCATGCTGGATCTACAGGGACGACCCAATAGAACCAAGAGATACAGGATAGCACTTCACATAAATTCCTGACAGGTGGCTCACCTCCGTCAGCTCTGCCAGGTGTCGCGTTCTGAAGTCGTCCAGCGTGGCGGCTATCTCCGCTGCTGGCAGCTTCGCCTGGGGGACACACATGGGGAAGGCGGGAGGGCGAGACAGGAGGGGTACAAGAAGGGTACAGGATGGAATAAGAAGAGGGGAAAGAATGAAGGAGAAGGACCACCGTCATCCACGTATTACAACGGCTCCTCTCATTTACTCACTCTGCCTGGGCGAGCATGGGAGCGACAAGCACAGCTTTCAGAAACCGCACACTCGTTCACTGATGCACGGCAAAAATTTACTCAAGCTGACCTGTGCGAGCACAGCAGCAGCGAGTTGCAGGCTGGGCTCCAGCGTCTCAGGAACCACAGCCGTGGCGCCAGCTTTCTCAAGATTGATCCCATGGGTCACGTCGTGAGCTCGCACAAACGTCTTCACGTGTGGAAAGCTCTTGCTGAGCGCCCACACGGCGCGGTAGTTGGCTCCTGGCGTGTCCAGTGTGATCACTGCTGCTGCTGCCCTCTCTGCCCCCACCTTGTGCAACACCTGAGGGAGATGGGGGAGGAGGGGGTCGGAGTGGGATGGAGGAGGGGGGAGAGGTGGGGACGAAGGGAGGGGAAGCTCTTGCTGAGCGCCCACACGGCACGGTAGTTGGCTCCTGGTGTGTCCAGTGTGATCACTGCCGCTGCTGCCCGCTCCGCCCCCAACACCTGTGGGGGGGAGGGGCGGGTTGGAGAAAAGGGGAAAGGAAGGTTGGATGGTAGGGCAAGAGCGAGTGAGGACCGGGTGAAGGGGAGAAAGGGACGGAAGGGACGGGAGTTGATTGGAGAGAGTGACGCATGGAGAAGGAAACGGAAATTCAGGAATTGCACGGGATGGCGGAAATGCACGTGTGGGGGGGGAGGAGGGGAGGAATGCACAACGGGAGATGGGGTGGAGGAGAGCGGAGGGGAGGGAGAGGCTCACATCGCGGCTGCCAGCATCGCCGAAGTAGACGGGCAGGTCGAGGGAGCGCCCCGCGCTCACACGGTCACTGCTCACGTCCAGCGCCACAAAGGGGATCAGGCGCTCCGACAGCAGCTGGCCTATGATCTGATGGACACAGGAGGGCAGGGATGGGTGTGAGGGATGGGTGTGAGGGATGGGTGTCAGGAAGGGAGTGCCATGAGAAGCCATTGCGAGACAATAGCAACGATGGCATAGGAGAGCTCATGTGGCAGAAGCAGAGAGCTCATGTGGCAGAAGCAGAGAGCTCATGTGGCAGAAGCAGAGAGCTCATGTGGCAGAAGCAGAGAGCTCATGTGGCAGAAGCAGAGAGCTCATGTGGCAGAAGCAGAGAGCTCACAGAGCACAACGAAAAGCTCACCTGACCCACACGGCCGAAGCCACAGATGATAATGTGGCCCTGCAGATCGTCCGTCTGTTGTGCGTTGGCAGGGAGAGAGGAAAAGGGAGAGAGGGGGAGAGCGGAGGGGTGATTGGTTGATTGAGAATGGGTTGAGCAGGCAAACAAAAACCAAGAGGACATAAGGTTGAATTGGGTTAAGTCATTGTGAGAGAAAGTTGTAAACTCTGCAAGAGGAAGCAGACTCCGCAAGAGGGCAACTCACCTCGGCCTCGTGTGGCTGCAGCGAGCGCACGTCCTGCTGGTCAAAGCGCGAGGCGATGAGCTGTCCCACCGCTGCGAGCCATGGCGTGATGGCCATGCTAAGCCCCACCACTATGAAGAGCAGCGAGCACAGCTGCGCGCTCATGATGCCCTGTGAGGGATGGGAATGGGGAGGAGGAAGGGACGGGGGAGGAGGAGAGGGATGGGGATGGGAAGAGATGAAGGGATGGAAGGGAGAGAGGAGTGGAGGCGGAGCTGTGAGCGTGAAGGGCAGGGTGAGAGCGCATAACTCAGCAGGTGCACGAGGCAACACAGGGACTGCCCCTTCCCCTTTCCCGTTCCTCCCCAAACCCCGCACCTTTGCTCACAGCCTCCCCAAACCCCGCACCTTTGCTCACAGCCTCCCCAAACCCCGCACCTTAGCTCACAGCCTCCCCAAACCCCGCACCTTTGCTCACAGCCTCCCCAAACCCCGCACCTTTGCTCACAGCCTCCCCAAACCCCGCACCTTTGCTCACAGCCTCCCCAAACCCCGCACCTTTGCTCACAGCCTCCCCAAACCCCGCACCTTTGCTCACAGCCTCCCCAAACCCCGCACCTTTGCTCACAGCCTCCCCAAACCCCGCACCTTTGCTCACAGCCTCCCCAAACCCCACACCTTTGCTCACAGCCTCCCCAAACCCCGCACCTTTGCTCACAGCCTCCCCAAACCCCGCACCTTTGCTCACAGCCTCCCCAAACCCCGCACCTTTGCTCACAGCCTCCCCAAACCCCGCACCTTTGCTCACAGCCTCCCCAAACCCCGCACCTTTGCTCACAGCCTCCCCAAACCCCGCACCTTTGCTCACAGCCTCCCCAAACCCCGCACCTTTGCTCACAGCCTCCCCAAACCCCGCACCTTTGCTCACAGCCTCCCCAAACCCCGCACCTTTGCTCACAGCCTCCCCAAACCCCGCACCTTTGCTCACAGCCTCCCCAAACCCCGCACCTTTGCTCACAGCCTCCCCAAACCCCGCACCTTTGCTCACAGCCTCCCCAAACCCCGCACCTTTGCTCACAGCCTCCCCAAACCCCGCACCTTTGCTCACAGCCTCCCCAAACCCCGCACCTTTGCTCACAGCCTCCCCAAACCCCGCACCTTTGCTCACAGCCTCCCCAAACCCCGCACCTTTGCTCACAGCCTCCCCAAACCCCGCACCTTTGCTCACAGCCTCCCCAAACCCCGCACCTTTGCTCACAGCCTCCCCAAACCCCGCACCTTTGCTCACAGCCTCCCCAAACCCCGCACCTTTGCTCACAGCCTCCCAAAACCCCGCACCTTTGCTCACAGCCTCCCCAAACCCCGCACCTTTGCTCACAGCCTCCCCAAACCCCGCACCTTTGCTCACAGCCTCCCCAAACCCCGCACCTTTGCTCACAGCCTCCCCAAAGCCCACAAATGCAAACTTCCCTCCAGGCGCGAGCAGCAGGCCCGTGCGCACAGCAGCGACGAGTGAGACGCCGAAGAGGCGCCCCAAGCCCCGCACAGAACACCCTCCTCCCCCACCCCATCCCCTCCACCCAACTCCCTATCTTGCTCCCTCTCACACACACCTTGGTAACAGCCTCCCCAAAGGCAACAAACGCGAACTCCCCTCCAGGCGCAAGCAGCAGGCCCGTGCGCACAGCAGCGACAGGGGAGAGGCCAAAGAGGCGCCCCATGCCCGCCAGCAGAGCCGTCTTGCCCACTATCAGAACTGCGAGCGCTGCCAGGATGAGCGGGAAACGCGCCACCAGCAGCTTGGGATCGATTGACATGCCCACCTGGGGGGGTTAGGGGAAGAGGGATGCGTGGTAAGGGGGGAGAGTAAGCGACTGATGGAGGGGCAGCAGGCGGGCGGTAGTTGGTCACAAGGCATGTACAAGACTAGCAGCTTGGGCCAAGCAGCAGTGGAGTGTTCAACAGAGCACGTGGGCAAGTGTGCATGAGCGTGCGGCCGCGGGTGAGAGGATGTGAGTGTTCGACTGGGTGCGGACTCTGTTCGTGGGTAAACTGCGCGCAGGCCCACCTTTGAGGAGCCTCAAAAGCCGTCTATTGATGGGGAGGACGCATGTGCTACCTGTGCTTGCAAGTGCAAGTGTGCAACGTACAGTCATGAAGAAGAGGTGACTTTTGAGTCGACTCTCAAGTGCAAGTGTGCGACGTACAGTCATGAAGAAGAGGCCCAGCAGCAGCCCGCGGTAGGGGTTGATGTCTGACTCCACCTGTGCCACGCACGGGGAGGCGGAGGGCGGCACGCGGGAGGTGGAGGGCAGCGAGAAGCGGAAAGGTAATGCCGAATAGTAAGGAGGCGGAGGGCCCCAAGAAGGGGAGGGTGGTGAAAACACTAAGGGGCGCATGAGCTGGTGAGGGCAGCAGAGCGATGCTTTAGTGACAAAGAGACTAAGCAAGTTGGCAGGTGCAGAGGAAAATGAATCAGCCAGCGCCCTCCCATGTGTCCCCACGACTCCGTCCTTTTTCAGCAGCGCAGCATACATCCTCAGCACACATCACCCTCCCACGCACCTGCAGGGCGAACTCGGTCTCTGAGAGCAGCAGGCCCGCCAGGAACGCTCCCAGCGCCATGGACAGCCCCGCCTGGCAAGGGTGGACGGATGGATGGATGGATGGATGGATGGATGGATAAATGGATAAATGGATGCGCATGCGCAGGGGCATGGGGTTGAGAGACTTCACAGCAGGGACGGTAAGGGGTGCTGCTGGCGTGGCAATAATGCAATGGCGCATGGCAGTAAGGCAGGCAAGCGAGCCGTGAGAATGATAGCAGGCAAACCCCTCCATGCGGGCAGCAAACCCCTCAGCTTGCAGTGAGATCCCCAATGCTGCCTCCCTGCCACTCTCTCGCCATGCCCAGCCGTGACCAGCACACAAAAACGTCTCCACTCCCTCACCCCTGCACCCTGCCTACTTCCCGCCCTTTCCCCTGCGACCCCCGTCACCCGCCCCCCCACAGTGCTCACCCGGGCAGTGAGCACGGAGGTGCCGAGCACCACGAGCAGTGTGTTGGCGGCAAAGATCTCCGCGTTGTGATTCTCCGCCATGCTGCGGTATATGGGGCGCAGCAGCTGGGGAGGGATGGAGGGGTGGGGTGTGAGGCGGTGAGAGGGGATGAGAGGGGGTGCATGGGGTTTAAGATCTCCGCATTGTGATTCTCCGCCATGCTGCAGTACATGGGGGGCAGCAGCTGGGAGGATGGGAGGGGAGGGGTTGGTGTGGGTTGAATGTGGGAATTGGAAACAAAGAGGAGGATCAATCATGGTTCTCCTAAAAACAACCTTTGAGATTTCCCAAAACCCTCAGCGAGATTTCCCAAAACCCTCAGCCAGCCCCCAACCGCCAGCAGCAGCACGCACCAGTCGGCCGCCCGCAATGAATGATGCCGTCAATGGCGATCACAGCCTTCACTGCCGCCACCCCCAGCAGCAGCACCCATCAGCCAGCCAGCCCCAACCCAACCTCCAAAAGCAGCACCCACCCGCCTACCCCAACCCCAAGCAGCAGGACGCACCAGTCGGCCGCCCGCAATGATGCCTGCGATGGCGATGACAGCCTTCACTGCCGCCATCCCCAGCGCCTCCGCTATCGCCCTGAAGCCCACGCCCTGGTGCACATTGAATGAACAAGGATAGGGAAGAGCCTGATTGGTGGCGGAGAGGAGAGGTGGAGAGTGGCACTGGGTAGAGAAGTACCACCACTAGGCATGTGAGGTGATGGGATGGGACACAAGGAGTGAAGATAAATTGACTGAAGAGATTATTGTACCATGTATGTAGGAGGGGAGAAGTATGGGCGGATTAGGCTGTGAGGGGGAGCAGAGAGAGAGGAGAGGAGTGAGGGAGGAGGGGAGAGTGACTCACCCCTCCGGTGGAGTTGGGGGAGAGAAGCGGAATGAGGATGAGCAGCACCACCACTGCTAGATCCTGTGGCATGGCGTGTGGATATGGCACATGGCACATGGGATGGGGTGTTGCATGAAGCATGGGGCATGGGAGGGAACACAAGGATGGATGAGGGGATGGGATGGGATGGGATGGGATGGGATGGGATGGGATGGGATGGGATGGGATGGGATGATGGTACATAAGGACATATGCCATGTCACTGCACGGTTGATGATGGGACTTGGCTTGGTTGGTTGGCATTGTTGAGATGGACGTGAAGGGGCGGGTGGGTGGGGATGCGAGGCGAGGGCAGAAAGATGGTGGCTGGGTGCAGCGCGGGATGCAGGGTGCAGAGCAGCATGCAGAGTGAAGAGTGAAGAGTGCGGAGTGGCATGAGGTGCACGACAAGAAAAGAGGGATGCAAGTGTGCAAGGGTGCAAGCAGCGACCTGGAAGAGCAGCACGGAGAAGGTGGCTCGCCCATGGCGCGACGTGCTCTCCCCTCGCTCTTGCAACACCTGACGGGCGGCCGGGAGGAGCGGAGTGAGGTGGTGGTTAGGTGTACTGTCAGTACAGTGGAGGAATGGGAGGACCGGGAGTTGCTTGCAAGCATGATGTGAAGTGGCTCATTCTAGTTTGAACTCGAGACAAACACACAGAGACCCACCTGAAGAGCAAGAGCGACCCACCGGAGGGGACAACAGAGACACGCCTGAGGCACAACAGAGACCCACCTGAGGCACAACAGACAGAGACCCACCTGAGGCACAACAGAGACCCACCTGAGGCACAGCAGAGACCCACCTGAGGCACAACAGAGACCCACCTGAGGCACAACAGAGACCCACCTGAGGCACAGCAGAGACCCACCTGAGGCACAACAGGGACCCACCTGCGGCACAACAGAGACCCACCTGAGACACAACAGAGACCCACCTGAGGCACAGCAGAGACCCACCTGAGGCACAACAGAGACCCACCTGAGGCACAACAGAGACCCACCTGAGGCACAACAGAGACCCACCTGAGGCACAACAGAGACCCACCTGAGGTAAAACAGAGGCCCACCTGAGGCACAACAGAGACCTACCTGAGGCACAGAAGAGACCCAGCTGAGGCACAACAGCAGAGACCCAGCTGAGGCACAACAGCAGAGACCCACCCACCTGGAGGACAACGGCGGTGGAGGAGAGGGCAAGGCCGTTGCCAATGACAATGGCTGCTGGGCCCGACACACGCGCCACTGCCAGCACACACAGCCCTATCGCCAGCGCTGACACCAGCACCTGTCAGTACCAGCAGGGAGAACGGGGGAGATGAGGGAGAGGAATACAGGTTAGAGATATGGGTTGGCTTAAAGAGAACAAATTGAACATATGGGCAGAGGTGTACAATTGGGGTGCCAGAGGAGATTGTGAAAAGAGGGATAGAGCATTTAGGGAAGAGAGAAGGGAGGCACACAGGCAGAGGGCAAGAGGCAGTGGGATGGGAAAGAGGCGGTGCGCAAGAGGCAGTGGGCACACACACACCTGAGCAGAGCCGAGCCCAAAGACGTATTTGCGCATGGAGCGCAGGCGCTCCAGCGACAGCTGGTGTGGCCGCGGGGGAAGGGGTTTGACAGGGAGATAGAGACGTGGAGTGAGAGGGCAGGAGAAGAGGCGATGGTGGGATGAATGCGAGTAGATGTGTGATGTGAGGGTGGTGTTGACGAGCACGTGAGGGCGCAGGGATAGAGAGCACGGAACTCGCTTGCATAGTCCATGGTGGAGCAGAACTGACCTCGAGGCCGATGTTGAACATGAGGAACACCACGCCAAACTCTGCGAGGGCCTTGGTGCCGTGCACATGCTTTATGATTGACAGCGCGTACGGTCCGATGAGCGCGCCCGCTGCCAGGTAACCCAGCACGGGGCTGCCTGTGTGACAGGCAAGAGGTGGGAGGGAGAGAGCGGGGAGGTAGCAATGAGCCTTGGTGCCGTGCACATGCTTTATGATTGACAGCGCGTACGGTCCGATGAGCGCGCCCGCTGCCAGGTAACCCAGCACGGGGCTGCCTGCGTGACAGGCAAGAGGTGGGAGGGAGAGAGCGGGGAGGTAGCAATGAGCCTTGGTGCCGTGCACGTGCTTTATGATTGACAGCGCATACGGGCCGATGAGCGCGCCCGCTGCCAAGTACCCCAGCACGGGGCTGCCTGTGGTGTTGGGAGGGAGGGTTAGGAAGGAGAGGGGTAGAATGGAGGGGGTAGAAGGGAGGGGGGTAGGAGGGAGAGAGGGCAGGAGAGAGATAAGGAGGGAGAGAGGTATGAGGGAGAGAGGTACAGGTGGCAGCATGGATGTCAGCATGGATGTCAGCATGGATGTCAGCATGTATGTCAGCATGCAAGTCAGCATTAGCATGACAGCATGGGTGGCGGGAGGGAGAGTACCTCCGGGCAGCTTCTGGAAGATGGGGACGAAGACGACACTGGCCAGCAGCAGCCACAGCACGTCAAACAGCTGCGTCTCCTCCTCGTTCGGCTGGTGGAGGGTTGGGGGGAGAGGGAGGGAAGGAGGGAGGGGGGGAGAGAGGAGGAACACGGGAGTGGAAGGATGAGCATGCAGTGCAGGGACAGGGGCAGAATTTTGAGTCGACTCAAAAGGAAGGATGAGCATGCAGTGCAGGGACAGGGGCAGAATTTTGAGTCGACTCAAAAGGAAGGATGAGCATGCAGTGCAGGGACAGGGGCAGAGACAGAGGCGTGGCAGGAAAGACTTTTGAGTCGACTCAAAAGGAAGGATGAGCATGCAGTGCAGGGACAGGGGCAGAGGCAGAGGCGTGGCAGGAAAGACTTTTGAGTCGACTCAAAAGGAAGGATGAGCATGCAGTGCAGGGATAGGGGCAGAGGCAGAGGCGTGGCAGGAAAGACTTTTGAGTCGACTCAAAAGGAAGGATGAGCATGCAGTGCAGGGACAGGGGCAGAGGCAGAGGCGTGGCAGGAAAGCAGCGTGACACAGGGAGTGATGGAGGCAGTGCAGACTGGTGGGAGATGAATGGTAAGAGCACAAACGAAGTGCTCAAGAATAGGAGAGTGAGTACAGGGAGGAGAGAAACAGGGAGAGGAGAGGAAGGAGAGGAACAGTGTCCTGCCAACACGTGCGTGCATGCATGTTACTCACCTCGTGTCGGGGCAGTTTGTCAATGAGCGCCTTGGCTCGCCCCACCACCGCCTGTACTGCCGACACTACCGGGTTACCCCTGGCAACCGGCCCTTGTACCTGCTGCTGCTGCCCCACTGCCCCAACTGCTGACCCTAGTGCCGCTGCTTCCTGCACGGTGGCGTCCCCTGCAGCCCCAGCCAGTACCCTTCCCTGTACGCCGTCCATCTGCACGACTGTGGTGGGAGGTGCGTGCCCTCCTGCCCTGTGCGCCATGCGCGCTTTGAGTGCCACGCCTCTGGGGTGGGAAAGGGAGAGAGAGGAGCAGAGTGAAGTGAACAGCGATGAGACGGGAAGGGAGAGGAGGGAAGGCAAGCCAGGCGCCATGCAGCATTTGAGTCGACTCAAAAGCAGACGGGAAGGGAGAGGAGGGAAGGCAAGCCAGGCGCCATGCAGCATTTGAGTCGACTCAAAAGCAGACGGGAAGGGAGAGGAGGGAAGGCAAGCCAGGCGCCATGCAGCACAAGGGACCACGAGGCCGAGTTTGCAGCACAGATGCCGCCTGGCGCACAGGGGCAGTAGGTCTGGGAGCAGCACAACAAGCAAGCACGACAGCAGCACACGGCACTGACCCGAGGAGGAGCACGGTGAGTGCGAGAATGAGCTTGGGCAGATGGCGCAGCAGCGAGGGCAGCGCTGATCGCACCCACTTGAGTGCATCCTCCACCTCATGGCCGTCCGCCGAGAAGAATGACGCTGAGAAGAACTGCGATGACTTCTTGGTGGGGGATGCAGAGGAGGAGGAGGAAGAGGAGGATGAGGAGGAAGAGGAGGAAGAGGATGAGGAGGATGAGGGTGACTTGGAAGATGGGCCAGCAGCAGGAGAGGCTTCATCTGAGCCGGGGACTGCTGCTGCTGACGCGGCAACAGCAGTGAGTTCCTCCTCTTCCCCAGCTCCCGCCTCCCCTGAATCACCCTTGATCGCATCCCCAGCAGCAGTGTCTGCAGGGGCGCTAGGTCCCAGATCAGCCTCCCCTCTTCCCTTTATCCCCCCCTCCTTCAAGCCATCCTTAACCCCATCCTTCCGCACGTCCTTCCCTCCCTCATCAACCACCGCACTTCGCCCGACCCCTCGCTCCTCCCCTGCTGCCTCCTCCGCTCCAGCCTTCACCCCCTTCTTCCCCTTATCCTCTGCCTTCCCCACCGCCTCTGCAACGACCCCTCCCACATCCTCCCTCGTCTCCCCTTCCTTCACACCCTCTCCTGCCCAATCAGGCGCCCTATCCAACTTACTACCCGCGTCACTATCCACGTCCTTCTCAGAGTCCTTATCAGAGTCTCTGTCGGAGTCGCTATCAGAGTCGGTGGTGGGCATGCCAGCAGCAGCCCGTCCGCCCTTCACTGTGGCGCGCAGCGCGGCTGACACGCCCGCCACCTCGCTCGCCAGCAGCGTCGCCTTCTCCGCGGCTAGCTTTGCTGCCTCCGCCTCCGCCTGGGATAAGGTGGAAATGGGTGGCGGGGGGGAAGAAGGGGCGGGAAGCAGAAAGTGTGCTGGGGAAATAGGAAGTCACGAGTGACGCAGGGAGGTGATCAGAGTGGTTTCCGGGCAGGGTTTCCGGTTAGCACTAGACTACACGCCGCTGCCACACACACACCTTGGCGATATCAGTAACCAGTTTCTCCGCCCTCGCCAGCGCCTTGGCGGCCTCCGCCACGCTCTGGCTCGCCTCCAGCTCGAACGCCACCGCCCTCTCCGCCACGCCCATGCGCTCCCCCACCTCCTCCTCCGCCTGCCCCGCACGCGCCCGTGCCTCCCCCGCCGCTGCCACCAGCGCGGACGCCTCCTCCTGCGCCCTCACGCGCCTTCCAGTCGCTTGCGCGGCTGCCTCCGTCCGCGTCCTCAGCTCCGCCTCCCGCCGCGCAAGCTCCTCCCGCACCTCCTGCACCAAATTAACCACGCCCGACCGCAAGCTCTCCCCCTCCTGAACCCCCTGTTCCGCCATCCCCGCCATCCCCGCCTCCACCGCCTGTTGCTGCGCCTCCGCCGCCACCAGCACCTCCGCCTGCTCGTGAAACGCCACGTCAGCCTGCCGCAGCGCATCCTGCGCCTGCGCCTCCTCCGCCAGCTCCGCCTCCACCTGCGCCATCGCGGCATCCGCGGCAGCTTCCGCTTTGGCGGCGGCGTCGGAGATCTCTATGGCGCGTTCCGCCACCCTGCGCGCCTCCTCCTCCGTCTCTACGGTCCGCGCGCACGCCTTTTCCAGCTCCGCCTCCGCCGCGCGCAGCAGCTCGCGGAGCTTATCCAGCGCGGATGACCCCCCGCTACCGCTGCTTCCTCCGCCGCTGCTGCTGCTGCTACTGGAGGTTTTGGTGCGCACCTTGGGCTCAGCGGCGGGTGATCCTGGTATGACGGGAGGAGTTCAAGTCGACGCAGCAATGCAAACGATCGTTCAGTCAACGCAGATCCGTGAGAGGGGAGAGGGAATCAGCGGAGTGTACGAAGTCTAACAGCAATATGCTAATGTTATCATCGAGAGAGTCGGAGACAGGGTACCTACCTTGTGACGACGAGCTGGCTGTTTCCGCCGCCATGTCGACCGCCTCGGCTGAGGCGGTGTAATCGACTCCGCCATCGCCGTCAGCAGCTGCACGCACCGCGACGTGCTGACGTGGACGAGTGGATCGGGAGTTCGGTGCAGGTGCTGATGTGAGTTTTGCTGCGGATGGGAATGCGGTACGAGCGATCTGCGAGTTTAAGCGACGATCGACGGCGCTGTGCGACGCAATGTGACTGTGCGATGAAGAATTGGATGCATTGCGGCGACGGGCGCGTTGCGAGGGTCGTGGCGTCGCGAGGAATGATCGCGCTGTTTCGGACGCGCTGACCGAACCGGCGAGACTAACGGGATGCATTGCGATAACGTAGTATCGTCCCTAGGAGACTGTGTCGCATACGACGGAGGATCGAGTGAAAAAAGACGGAATACGTCACGCAAACTGGCTAATGATCAGCCAAGCTTCTGAGCATGGCGGCTCCCTGGCAGCAATCACTCTGAAAAATAAGTGGCTAAAACACAACTCCCAAGGTTAGAGGATCAAGCGAGCAGCGACGCAAAACTCCTGCGTGGATAGTTGTGCCAAGGCAGCAGCACACTGGCTGGTGATCATGCTGACGGGGCAGCAGAGGCGAAAAGCAACGAGCCACGCTGGCGGGCAGGGATTGGCTGGGCGGAACCGGGGCTGGATGGCGGCACGAAAGAATCGGAGAGCGGAGGAGATGAAATACACGCGAGGGGAATATGCCCAACGCGGAAAATATCGAAGCCTTCCAGCAATGTCGGCAAATTTGCTTGACATTCGTACATAGATGTTTACGATAACTGGCTGCAATGTATACTCGTTGCCAGCGGCGAGGTGCATAGTAGCGAGTATGACTTCTCACCCTTCTTTCCTGAAGTCTCCAGCGCTCCACAGCCTGTGTCAATTCCACTGCTCGGTGTTCCATGTTCCAAATACCAGTACGGCCCATAGTCTTCAAATCCCACGCGGCGGAGCCCTCTTTGCGTCCAACCCACACGCAGAACAGCAATATCACGGCGCTCCTCCGTTTGAACCATTGGTTGCCATTCGACGTTCTTCCGCACTCGACGCGGCGGAGAAGAGTTTCAGTCCGCGTCTATTAGGAAACGAGACCCTAGTAGCACCTGAGTGCGGTAGCAGCGGGTTGCTGTAGTGTCTGTTGCGTCGGCAAGCGCGGCCCTTGGTCGCTCCGTCGTATCCCGCGGTTCGCGTCGCCGCCCGCTTCCCGGCCTCCATGGTACGCGAGTCAACGGCGACGCTCGTTACTTCACTCCTCCTCGCGTTGAAGCTTCGCTCTACGACGTCAGGCGTCCGCGACTTCGCTCAGCGAATTTCCGAGCCCACTTCCTTTTCCTTATCCTCCCAGCGTCCCCACCCCTCCAGGCCGTTCCCTTTGTGTTCCCCCTTCCGTCCCCTGATCCCCTCTTCCCCTCCTTATCTCCTCTCCGCGTTCTCTCTTCCACCCAACCCCCCTTTCCCCCCCCTTTCCCCCCAACACCCTCCCCCCCCTCCACGGACAACACCGGACCGCCGCCAGTCGATGTACGTGCGGGCCAAGCGGCGGGCGACCACCTACTTCCTCTACTGCGAGCCGTCGCAGAAGGTGCTGCAGGTGAAGCAGAACCTGGAGGTGCTGTGCGGGCAGGCAGCGGGCGACATTCGGCTGGTGCTGCTGCACAGCAACGCCGTGCTGGACGACAACCGAACGCTAGCAGAGCAGCGGGTAAGACTTCTGAGGCGCCTCAAAAGGTGCTGCAGGTGAAGCAGAACCTGGAGGAGGCGGCGACATTCGGCTAGTTCTGCTGCACAGCAACGCCGTGCTCGACGACAACAATATGCTCGCGGAGCAGCGGGTAAGGAGGATGCTAGATGACCTCTGAGTCGAGTGTTGATTCAGGGTAAGTTCCACTGCATGCTCGACGACAACACAACGCCGGCGGGAGCAGCGGGTAAGGAGAACGCGAGTCAGCTATGGGTTCCTTCTGAGTCGGCTCAAAAGTCTCGCCCTGTCCTGGCCGATGACGGGATGGTGGTGGAGCAGCAAGTAGGGAGGGCACGGAACCTTGCAGCAAGAAGTAGAGGAAATCGCTGGGCGTGAACGCCAAGGCTGCACCACACATGTGCTTCCCCATATGCCCCCTGTGTGGTTCCCCGTGTACTTCTTCCCATCCCATCCTTGCATCCATGCATCCATTCCTCCATCCATGCCCCATGCATCCATGCGTGCATGCATGTGGCAGGTGGAGAATGATGCAGTGGTGGCGCTCACATACCGCCTCTCAGGTCCGCCTCTCTGTTTGCCACCTTCTCACGCACATCACATGTTTCTCGACATGTTAATTGAATCGTCACACGGTCACACCCGAAGTTAGTGTGCCTTTCATTATCAAAACCCTCCCCACTGTCCAACTTCCCTCCTGTCACCACCATACCCCTAACCCCCTTCCCTCCCATCATGTGTCTCCGCGTGACTGTACGTGTACATGCAGATGATGAGTGGGAGCCGGTGTGCATAGACAAGCCTGATGATGGCACGGCAGACATGGACCACATGGGCTGACACTGGATGTTCACTGCATGGGCTGATCCGATTGACATGTGTGCTTGCAATGACATGGGACACCTTGATTACTCCCTCTCTAATAAAGCTCCCTTGTTCCTTCCACCATCGCACTGCAATATATGTTGGGGAACATGATCTTAGAACAAAGGAGAGGACAGCATGCAATTATTGGCGACATATACGGTAATTACAAAAAGGACTGGTACTAAAACCGAAGCATTTATTTCAAGCAGCAGATTCATGACTGACCCTCTGCAGCTTTATCTTTACCCTTGGGGGTATCTGCCAGGTCAGCTCCACTGCAGTCTGTGTAATCTTGACTATCCTCCACCTCATCTTTACTCTCATCCTCGTTATACTCATCTGGTGCCACCTTGTTGTTGAGAGCAAGATTCTGCAGCAACAAGGGCAGGGAGGGGGGCGACACAATCTGATACGTTGTGAAACCAACCTTTTGAATAGAAAGATTGTCACGCATTCAGCTGGCGGTTTGTAAGGAAGATAGGGCTGTGAGCAACACATGTAGTGCACCTTGCACATGGGGGAGGCGGAACAGAGCACTGAACCTTCAGCACCCACCTTGCGCATGGCTTCAATGTTGTCCTTCTCAATGCGACGCACATCATACATTGTGAGCTCACACCACTCGTCCATGCGACTGCAGCACTGCACCTTTTGCACAGATGTTTTAACCATTCAAAGGGAGGAAACCCACCTTGCGCATGGCCTCGATGTTGTCCTTCTCAATGCGACGCACATCATCCATTGTGAGCTCACACCACTCGTCCATCCACCCATACATCTTCCGATGCCCCTCCAGAAACAACGCCCTCTCGCCCTGCCCGGCCAATGGAAACCAAGGGGAGAGCAGAGCAATCGATGAGTCCTTCTCAAAAGCAAGCATGAGGCCAGGCATCGCAATGAGGACTTGAACGCATTGACATTGCAATGAGAGCATGATATGAGCAGCATGCCGTTCTTGGTCGAGCAAACTGGCGATCACCTTTCAAAGGGAGGAAACCCACCTTGCGCATGGCCTCGAGTTGTCCTTACAGCGAGTACAGGAGGCTTACAGCGAGTACAGGAGGCGTACAGCGAGTACAGACATCTTACAGCGAGTACAGAAGACAGCAGCAAGTACAGAAGGCTTACAGCGAGTACAGAAGGCTTACAGCGAGTACAGAAGGCTTACAGCGAGTACAGAAGGCTTACAGCGAGTACAAGAGCTTACAGCAAGTACAGAAGGCTTACAGCGAGTACAGAAGGCTTACAGCGAGAACAGAAGGCTTACAGCGAGAACAGAAGGCTTACAGCGACAGAAGGCTTACAGCGAGGACAAAGAGCTCTAGCCTCTTGCCAAAGCCCCAATAGGGCGCGTCCACTGTGACCATCTTGTATGCCGTCATCACCGGCTCACATGCCTCCTGCTCCCCACCACACCACAGCGGAGCACACCAGGGGGTGGGAGTGGGTGAGGGCAATGGGGGGAGAGGGGAGAGGGATCCAACCAAGGGGGGAGAAGGGAGAGGGGATCCGGATACGGGAAGAGGGAAGGGGACAGGGGAGGAGAGAGGGCGGGAGGGTGTACAGGTTAGTGCAGGATGCTGGATGCATGATGGGGCAAGCACAGGTGCAGTTGATGACTTGCCAAGAACAATCTCTTAGCAGACATGCCCTGAGCAGAGGAAGGATCAAATCAAGAGGCGGCAACAGCACAGACCTGCCAGCCTGGAGCGAGGGGGCCGCGCTTGGCCTTGGGGAGGGCGAGCTTGGAGGGGTCGACACCAGACTTGGCGATGAGGCGCGTCCACATGTCGCGCTCATGGCTCGCTATGTCCACCCTCTCCACCTTGCGCTGCTTCACCTGCTCCTCACTCAGCCCCAGCGCCTGTCGGGGAAGGGGGGGGGGACCGGAGGAAAGGACGGGGGGGCATGCCACGCTCATGGCTCGCTATTATGCCCACATGCCACGCTCATGGCTCGCTATTATGCCCACATGCCACGCTCATGGCTCGCTATTATGCCCACATGCCACGCTCATGGCTCGCTATTATGCCCACATGCCACGCTCATGGCTCGCTATTATGCCCACATGCCACGCTCATGGCTCGCTATTATGCCCACATGCCACGCTCATGGCTCGCTATTATGCCCACATGCCACGCTCATGGCTCGCTATTATGCCCACATGCCACGCTCATGGCTCGCTATTATGCCCACATGCCACGCTCATGGCTCGCTATTATGCCCACATGCCACGCTCATGGCTCGCTATTATGCCCACATGCCACGCTCATGGCTCGCTATTATGCCCACATGCCACGCTCATGGCTCGCTATTATGCCCACATGCCACGCTCATGGCTCGCTATTATGCCCACATGCCACGCTCATGGCTCGCTATTATGCCCACATGCCACGCTCATGGCTCGCTATTATGCCCACATGCCACGCTCATGGCTCGCTATTATGCCCACATGCCACGCTCATGGCTCGCTATTATGCCCACATGCCACGCTCATGGCTCGCTATGTCCACCCTCTCCACCTTGCGCTGCCTCACCTGCTCCCCGCTCAACCCCAGCGCCTGTAAGAGGGAAAGGGGATGGGGGAAAGACAGGAAGGCGGAGGAGGGAGAGAAGGAAAGATAGAAACCAGGAAAGTGCGAACCTCATGGCTTGTGGCAATTCCTCATGCATCAACACCCATGCATACAATCAATAATGCACGTCGTGAATGAGGAATGGCCATTCCTCGTGTTGATTCACTCGTGAATCAACCATGCCTTCCCCAAATGTCTCCCCGCCATGCCGTCCCCCGATGCCTCCCAACCATGCCTTCTCGCCATGCCCCTCCCTGTGCCTCCCAGCCATCCCACCCTCCATCCCCAGCCTACTCAACATGCCTGCCCACATGCGGACTCACGTTTTCGGAGTCGCCTCTGTCGGCGAGGTGTATGGACTCGATGGTGATGGAGAACTTGGTGAGGTAGGGGCACTGCGGGTGAGAGCGGCGCGCATGGGGTGCGGCATGGGGTGTGGCATGGGGTGTGGCATGGGGTGTGGCATGGGGTGTGGCATGGGGACGGGGTCAACATGATGGAGAACTTGGTGAGGTAGGGGCACTGCCATGCAGAAATAGATCCGTACGGCGTGTCACATGGAATGTGGCACGGGGACGGGCACTTGGTGAGCGGTGTGAGGGGTGCGCATTGGAGTGTGGCATGGAGACTCTGCAGCATGATGGAGAACTTGGTGAGGTGGGGGCTCTGCCACTCAAGGTTGCGCATTCAGTTTGGCATGGGATGTGCATGGGATGTCACATGCGCGGTGTGGCATGGGGGTACACATGCAATGTGGCATGGAAAGGGCATGAGGAAAGAAGGGAGGAGCGAGAGCCGGAGGAAGGGAGGAGATGGGGAGAGGAAATCGTGTTTTGAGGCGCCTCAAAAGTCGGAGGAAGGGAGGAGATGGGGAGAGGAAATCGTGTTTTGAGGCGCCTCAGAAGTCGGAGGAAGGGAGGAGATGGGGAGAGGAAATCGTGAGCAAGAAAGGGTGTGGCTGAGGGAATGGAAGCGTGTGGGTGTGGTGCTACCAAGGAATTGGTGTGCGGGAACAGGCACCGTCATACTACAACAAAGACGGGTTTGAGGAAGGGACGGTGGCAACGGGAAAGACATACCTTGAGGACTGAATTTTGATGGTGGAAGCAGCACATAAAGGGAAGGAGCGACATGGGAGGGGGAAAGTGAGGGAGGAAGAGTGGAAGGAGGAGTGGGTGAAAACATGCAATAAATGTTACTGAGGCAACCAAAGCACTTCGTATTCCTGCCTTAACACAATTGCTTTCTCCAGTTCTGCTCTATTGCACGAGTCTCCACTAAAATCCACCCAAACTGTTGTTCTCCGCACCTGTCTTGCTCCGCGGATACGCGTTCCAGTTCTGCTCCTCCAGGCACAGCGCGCCGTGCGGGGCGAGCGCGCGGAGCCACGCGGGCGCCTTGCTGTGGAAGTGGTAGATGACGTGCGCCATGTGCCCCGCGCCCATGCGCTCGTCGCTGAACGGCTGCGACGCCACCACCTCCACGCCCTCGCTGCCGCGCGTGTTCTCCATCTGCATGCGCGACCGCATGTACGCCTGCCCTATGCGGTACTGCGAGGTGCGGGGAGGTGCATGGGGGTGCGGGGGAAGGGAGCGAGGATAGGGGTGTGTTCTCCATCTGCATGCGCGCCCGCATGTACGCCTGCCCTATGCGGTACTGCCGTGTGAAGGGGGGAGAGGAAGGGTGGGTGAGGGAGGAGAGAAAGAGCGTGTGGTGGGGAAGAAGGAAATTGGCACATGTGACGGCATGTGCGTCTGAGAATTCCGATTCGCATGAACATCGAAAATTTGCGAGAGGAAGGGCCAGGACGAGTGGATGTTTGGAAAATTCGCATAAAGCACGCGTGAAACACATGCAGCCTGTTCCATGCGCTCGACTCGCTTCCCCCTCGCGCCGTCTCCCCTCCGCTCGCCCCGTCTCACCTCTTCTAGCGAAACAGGCATTGTGATGCGACTGCGTTGACGAAAGAGTCGCCGTGCGACGTATGGTGCGCGCGACGTCCCATGCGACGGTATCAATGCGAGAAGGGCGGCATGGCGGGCGGTCATGACACGTGGTCATGCGGGACACCCCAGGAAAGTAAATTTGATCCCAAGCAAGCATGCCCAAAGAAAACATTCACAAAAAAATCACGACAGGAAGGAAGCAAAATGACGAATTGGTTACGATCACGGTCACAACCAACCAATAAGGACCACGGTCACATTACCATACACGGTCACAAACACGCGCATAACACCAAAAGGAAACAGAAAACGCATAGGCACACATGGGGAAAATTTGAGAAAGAAACAAATCAGAATTTGACAAAGTGAGGAAAAGGGCTCGGACTAACACCGTGATAGGTCCTTGCAAATCCCAAACGCATGTTCATGTTGAGTTTGACAGAAAAGGAGAACCTACTATTCTGTTGATCGGACCATGGCTGCGGTAAACTGCAGAATTCCGCTACTCCAGCTGTTCAAAACCGTTGCTCCTGCCGCTGCTGCTAGTGCTGCTGCTGCTGCCTCTCCTCCTCCTCTTGCTAAAGGGATTGTCAGAGAATGTTCGATCAACAGAACCAAGTCCTACTAGACTCTATCTGAGCGTCAACGGCTGCTGCAAGTCGCTTGCAAGAGCCCAGTTTAACGCCGCGAGAAGCGTCGCCACACTGTAGTGAATCCGAGGCGACGAGGTGGCATCAGGTCAGCGCTGACGTCGACCTAGGTAAGGAAATTAAGACTTGCGGTTATAAGACGTTTCTGAACTCAAAAGTTCGAGGTGAGGAAATTAAGAGATGCCGTCGGTCGCTGACTCGGGCGGGGGCGTGAGAAACTGGTGTGTAAGGGAAAGCTTCAAGGGAAGCTGGTTGCTTTCAGACTAGGCGTCAACGGCCTCCAAACGTCGTTATCCCAGCTTCGGTCTCGTCTTTACTTTGGTTTTCGTAGGCCGACTCAGTATGACTTCAGGCTCAAATCATGCTCGCTCGCAAACACGCAGAATCCATATGAGTCGCACGTACGTAGGTGGAATGGAATGGACTCATGTTCATGGTGCACGAGATCTGGGTTGTTCCTGAAACCAGCTGAATACATAGCGCGTTTCTCTGTGTTCCAATGCGGTACTGACTGGTATTCCCAAAGACACAGGTCGGTGGAGGTGACGGTGGCGACAGGCTTCTTCAGCAGACGACGTGGGCGACTCTCCGTCGATTGATTGGCTCATGGGTTGCAAGGGGAGGCGAAAGTAAGCTGGACTGCCATCCGAAGGATGGGCACTTTCCAAATTTTAGGGGGGTGTGAGGCAGATCACGGAACCTATATTACAGTACTACATCTCCGCTGAGATTCCTCATCGGGAGCTATCCTCGTACTTCCGTCCTTCAGATTTCTCAAATAACTCTCAAGAGTACAGCAGTAGAAAAATCCCAAAACAAAGCTCAGCAAAAAAAAGATGGATCCAGAACCAATATCGGAGCGCCAGAAGGATACCGTGCGACGAATATTTTGTTCCGACGTGGAGGTTTCGAAGAGTCTTGCTTCAGAAACCGTAAATAGGAATTGCGCATCTACACGGTATTGTAAAAGTATATTCCTTCAGAACAGAATGATTTACGAACCCAAACATTTTCAATTAGAGAGAACAATTGCACATAAGAATCTAGCATGTACTTTCTGTTACACGTTTCAAAGGTTTTATTGCAGGACTAACCTGTTATGAGTTGTAAGAGAGAGTGCGCAGGTAAACGAATAACGAGGCTGTGATTGAATCAACTGCAAATACAATGAATGCACAGACTAATGTAGGGCTAGCCTGCTGCGATCAGAAGTTGATCTTAACCCAGGATCTACTCTGGTAGGTTCGCACGCAGTGGGTAGTGTTGGTGGGCCCTTGATCTCAATAGCAGAGTGAATGTAAGATGCTTGAGATATAATAAAACATGCAAATACAGCGATATAAATATGAGTACAAGGGAATTCGAAACGACCTAACTAGCCATGTACTCTAAGGGGTACATTCCCTTATTCAAATGCATCCCAACCGTTTGGCGCGTACAGTTTCGTAACTGTTCCCGCCAAAACCATCCTGCCTGTAGTTGTCCGATGCCGTTTGCTTCCGACGGTTCAGATGTGCTGTAACCGTCCGACTCTTTGACTCAATTCCAACCGTCTGACGCTTGCGTTCATTCCCGATATTGTGCGTAACTTGCTACGGTGAGGAGTGCTTAGTAATATCGAATATTACTATTCGTAACACCCCCCTTCACTCCTGGACGTAGCTTAGCTTGACCTGCCTGACCACGTCGCTGTGTTCGGAGCAGTGCTGATACTGCTGGCGTGGCAGTCGCTTCGTGAGGAAGTCTGCTGCCATGTCACCTGTTGGGCAGTAGGTCAAGTTGACCTTGCCTTTGTCTACTTCGTCCTTCACGAAGAAGTACCGCAGCGCAATGTGCTTGGTGCGGTTAACGAAACTAGGCTTGTTCGCGATGCGAATCGCGCTCTGGTTGTCGCAGTGAAGACGAAATGTCGGCGAAGCTCGAATTTTCGCCTCTTGCAGGAGTTCCTGCAGATAGAGGCCTTCGCGAACTGCTGCGGTTGCTGCGATGAATTCCGCTTCCGCTGATGACAGGGCAACCAACTCTTGCTTCTGCGAGTTCCAGGAGATTGGTCTCGTAGGCTCGAGTCGGAACAGGAACCCAGTCCTGGACCGTCGATTATCGGGATCTGCTACGTGGTCTGCGTCCACATAGCCGGTGAGATTGAAGGATGGGGTTGGTGCAGTTGAGTAACGCAGCCCAATCTTGGGCGTTGAAACGAAGTATTGGAGGGCGCGCTGTAGGTGCAGAAGATTTTCAGCCGTTGGTTTGCGTGAGTATTGCGCCAGCTGACTTGCAATGTACGAGAGGTCTGGCCTGCAGGTGACAGAGGCGAAGAGGAGGCATCCCAACTGCTGTTGATAAGTCTGAATCCCAGCGGGGGATAGGGCTTTGGCGTCGGGTTTGTAGTTCGGTCCGGGGGTTCGGTAGGGAGTTGAGAGAGGTGCAGGTGAAATGTTGAGCCGCTTCCCTAACTCCTCTGCGTACTTAGCCGCTGAAAGGTGAAAGGCTTCGGGCGCGTAGGTGATGTTGAGGCCTAGGAACTGCTTCACCTCGAAGTTGCATGTGATGTCGACGCGCCCCGCCAGAGCCTTTTCGAACTGCTGGAGGAGCTCGTTGTTTGAGCCTGTGTAAAGCAGGTCGTCGACGTACACGGTGAGGAGGATGTATTCGCCGCGAAAATCGCGGCGGTACATCCCTGGATTGTGTGGCATTTGCTTGAATCCGATTTCAAGCAGGATGTTATGCAGGTACTGCTGCCACAGCCTTGGGGCCTGCTTGATCCCGTAGAGTGACTTGCGCAGCTGACATACGCGCGAGTCTCCTTCGCCGTAGGTGTGTGGCTGCTCCACGTAGATCACGGCGTCTACTAACGCGTACAGGAACGCGTTCTTCACGTCGTTCTGTCGGAGTGGCAGGTGCCTTGCAGCTGCGATGGCGAGCAGGATGCGGACGGAGGTGTGGCGGCTAACTGGGGCGAACGTCTGGTCGAAGTCGATCCCATACCTCTAGTCATAGCCGCGAACCACCCAACGCGCTTTGAAGCGCTCGATTGTCCCATCCGCTGCGGTTTTTACGCGGAAGACCCACTTCCCTGAGAGGATTCTTGCGCCTCTGATCGCTGCGCGGTCGACGAGCACCCAGGTGTCGCGTGACTCTAGTGCCTTGATTTCCATGTCCATCGCCTCACGCCATTCCTTGCTGTGTGGTCCAGAAAGTGCTTCGCGCGGGTTTCGGGGCTCGATGATACGTGGTGCCTGCGAGGTTGCGGTGTGAAGTCCGAGCAGCTGCAGCCCTGAGATGGTGCTGTCGTGGCGACGTTGCGGGATGAATTCCTGCACATCATCATCATCACTCTCTGGTTCAGGTGTTGGCGGTGTTGCGCCTCTGCCGCTTCCGCCTGTTCCGCCTCCGCCTGTTCCTCTCCCTGAGGAATCATCGTCGTCGTCGTCGTTGCTGCGCCGGTTTTCCCATGCGAAATCCTGTCAGAATGTTCTTATCTAGCCTGTAGTGGGGTGCTCTATAGCGAGTACAACCCTGTTAGGGTTTGCTATTTGTATCCCCATTCTTGCTAGTCTAGCCGTCTTTCTTTCTTCTAATTTTGTCATGCTATCAGAGCAGGTCGATCCCCTTGGATCGATCCTGTGGGTGGGTTACCACCACCTCGTTGCTTCCGCTGCAACTGCTACTGCTACTCTCTATGCCGCACGCCCCGTGGCGTGCGGCAGTTTTTCTTCCCGCCGTGCGCCCCGAGGCGCGCGGCGGTTCTCTGCCCGCTGTGCGCCCCGAGGCGCGCGGCGGGCTTCTGCCTCGTCGCTCGGCGCTGCGACGGGCGACGGGGACCCGCGCGCCGGCCCGTCGACGCCCGTGCGCCGCTGCCCCGGCTCGTCGCCGCCCGTGCGCCGCTGCCCCGGCCCGTCGCCGCCCGTGCGCCGCCCGTCCCGGCCCCGCGCAGCTGCTCCGGCCCGTCGCCGCCCGTGCGCCGCCAGCCCCGGCCCGTCGTCGCCCGTGCGCCGCTGTCCCGGCCCCACACCGCCCGTGCGCCGCCAGTCCCGGCCCCGGCCCCGCCTGCGCCCCCCCCCCCCCCCTTTTCCCGTCGCCTGTCGAGGCGACCCTCGGGGGCCGCTTGGGGGAGGGGGGCGAGCGCCGCCCCCCCCCCCTTCTGCTGCCTGTCTTGGCGCCCTGGGCGGCCGCGAGTCGGTTCCCTCCCCCCCCTCCCCCTCCCCCGTAACCTCCCTACCCGCCATCCCGCCCTGCCTGAGTTAGGGTTTGGGGAGTGGCGAGTAGGGGGTGGCGAGTATGGGGGTGGCGGGTGTGTGGTCTCCCCTGCTCCTCCTCCTGCTCTGTCTCCCACTGCTGCAGCTGCCG